AGTTCATTGGCGTTATTCTCTCTCTGGCGCTTCGAAGTTGACTGACTGCCTACGAAACCCTCGACTTGGCGGAACAAGCTAGAAATCGGCTACCTCCAACCTATAGAGCAGGTCGATTGGGCGTTTGAGCGTCTGTCCGACCGAGGTTTTGACAAGACATGATTGCGGACAGGCAGAGTGCCTCCCGGCGAGAAGTTCGAGCACGACACATAGCGGCCACCAACCGCGAGATGGATCCGACGTTTTGAGGATGCAGACGTCACCGACCTTCAACGGTCTGCTCGACTGAGGGTCGTTGGAACGAATGGTGGATAAATACTGGAGATAGACCGTCTTGAACTCTTTCCAAACCTGGCGGAGGATGGATTGTTGCCGGAGCCAGCGTTCCGAGAACACTGCGGCCGAAGCCGTTGCGGCTCTGCTGAAAACGATTTTCGTTTCGGGAAGCAACTGACCCGATGAATAACCGTAGAGCAGGTCGGACGGCGTGAGAGCCCGTGGCTCATCGAGATCAAGAACCACAGCCGAGAGCGGACGATCGTTTATCATTTTTTCGATTTCAAACAGAGTTTCCTCTAGCTCTCTGTATCTGATGGTGTGGACTCCCAGGATTTTACGGAGCGGGCGTTTTGCCATCTGCACGACCCTTCCGAAGAAACCTCCCTCCCATGGACTTAGTGGGGTGGTGCATTGCCACTCGATCCTTCTAGAAGCCAGGAAGTTCCGAACCTTCGGAACTCGTGCGTTGTCGAAAATAGCCTGCAGCTTCTTAGAAGCCTTCCGGAAGGTCTGGGAGTTATCCGATACGATCCTCTGGACCGTGGGATTTCTCGCAATGAATCTACTCATGGCTAAGAAGAATTCGTCGGTGGAAAGATTCGGAACTAACTCGAGCCTACAGGCTCTGCTAGTCGCGCATACAAATAAGAGGATATAGCCCTTGCTCACCTCGCCTGTGTCGAGATTGAAGTACACCGGTCCGGCGTGATCCGTTCCGCAGCACTCAAAGGGCGCTGAAGCTTCGAGGCGAAAGCTGGGCAGAGGAGGTATGGGTTCACTGGCCCTGACCGCTCTGTAGCGAGCGCAGACTTTACATCCAGCCACGGCTGCCTTTGCTGCCCGCCTGGCTCTAATCACGAAGAACTTCCTTCGCATCTCCTTAAGAACGGATGCGACGCCACCAAAGTGGAGGCAGGCGAACTCATGAATGCTTCTCAGGAGGAGCTGCACGAGGAAGTCCTCTCCTACAAGAAGAATCGGACATTGCTCGCTGTAGGACATCTGAGTAGCCTTCTGGAGTCCACTTCTACATCGAACGAAACCGTCCTCGGAGACGAAGGGATTTAACTGATAGAGTTTGCTAGAGCGAGCGATTTCCTGGCATCTGGAAGCTAGTTCAGCCGGGAAGTGTGTTCTCCGGATGTGCTTAATCAGAGCCTCCTCAGAGGTCCGGAACTCAATGGCATCTATGACGTGATCTGCCGGCCTCGGACGTCTAAGTAAGAGCGAAGCGGCGGACGTAAGCGAGCACTCGGACTGCCTTCTGCCACGAACTGAATTTTTTCGAGGATAAGGGCTCGACTGGCGGAGCGGCGGCGCCCGCCGCGGACACCATCTCTGACCGATATTCCCTCAGAGCTTCCTGAGTCGGGATCGGGTTGAGAGAGTGGGGCCTCGGACCTTCCGAAGAAGCCAGCCACGACGGTCCCTGGAGCCACAATAAGCTGGACTCGTATGAATCGAGCGGAGAGGCGCGGGAGAGGAGGTCGCTCGGATTCTCTTCGCTCCTGGTGTAGCTCCACGAGTCTGGAGTGGTCAACGATTGAATCTCCCGGACTCTGTTGGGAACGAATTGCGTCCACCGACTCGGAGTGTCACGAATCCAGCCGAGGACACTGCTGCTATCCGAATACATGAACACGGAGTCGATTTCGGTATCCAGATACTTCCGAATTTTGTTCGAAATGCGAGCGGCGAGGAGAGCGGCCATCAGCTCAAGCCTTGGTATAGTCCACTTCCCCTTGATAGGGGTGACACTGGCCTTGGCCATTATGAAGCGGACAGCAACCTCGCCTTTTGGATTGGACCGGGAGAATTCGCGAATGTAAGCCACTGTCCCGAAAGCTCGGAGGGATGCGTCCGCGAATACATGGAGTTCACGTGTCGCCTGCTTTCTCGGAAGCCTCAGCAGATTGCGATCTACCTGGATAAATGGAACGAAACTCAGATTGCTCACTGATTCCTGATACCTTTCCTTCAGATCGTTGGGCAACTCGGTGTCCCAATCGATCTTCCGGGTCCAGATGATCTGCATGAGAATTTTGAAGTTGATTGCGATCGGACAGATATGACCCAAGGGATCATAGATCTGAGCCAGACCCCTGAGAAGGTGTCGTTTAGTCAGAGGCTCCGATTGAAAAAACGCGATTATCTTCGTGACGTCTATGAACAGATGGTCTCTCCGTTGATTACAGTGAGTTCCAAGAAACGAGGCTTCATCCGAGGCCGAGACCTCACGGTCTGGTCCTACGGTGTCTACCAGGAAATCCGCCAGGTGCTGGCTGTTGGTTGCCCATTTATCAAGGGGAAAATGGCCTCGATGGAGTACGTCAATGATAGTGGTCACGACGATATTCGCCTCCCCGATCGAGCTCGCTCCCGTACATAGATCGTCCATGAAGAACGATTTTTTCAACTGCCCCAGCAGATCTCCGAATCTAGGTGATAGCGAAGTCCCATGCAATGAACGAAGGGACTGGAGGAGATACCGAAGTCGAGGACTCTGGCCCAATATTCCTGAATCGGGGCGTCAGGATTTTCCGAGAATCCCAACGGCCAGTAAAACCTCAGGAGTGTTCGATGATGTTTCGCTATCAGGAAGTTCATGAACGCCTGTTTGATGTCCGTGACGATGACAATCGGGAAGCTCCGAAATTGGAGCAGAGGGAGGAGGATATCCGGCAACAAATCTGGACCGGTTTCGAGCACGTCGTTGAGAGAGGCCTCGTCTTTCGAGCGAGACCCACAATCCTTGACGACCCTTACACGGAGCTCCGAACTGTTTGCCGCCGATTTCTTCGCAACTGCTAATATCGGAAGATAGTGAGCTAAATCACTAGTGGACCTTGGTTCTGCTATTTCGATGAAGTTCGAATCCAAATACCTCCTGATTTCCTTATCAACCGCTCTCAAGATTTCCGGTTCTTTCCTTGCATTTTTGAGGAATGCGATCAGTCGAGAAAATGCTAATTTTTGATTATCCCCGAGCGTATGGAGGTTATCTTTTAGAGGGAGCGATACTGAATATTGCCCCGACGGCAGTCTTTCTACGGAATCCTTGAAGCGGTCGATCAGATCTTCTGCGGACTGCATGGAATCATCTGCGCGTGGATGTTCGACGCCGAGGAACTCAGAATCCCAGAGGAATTCAAGATTTTCCATCTCCTCGTCGGATCTCTGTCGTTTTGCTCCCCGCATCCGGGTCGCGATTGTCGAGCATATGATGACGCCCGATGCCGTGAAGTTCGAGCTGGAGATTGCGTTGGCGCCGTCCTGACCCCAATAGACCCCACCGAATATCGTCGGAGAAGCCACAATTTTACCGAACTTTTTGTATTGCCCCGCGTAAACGAGGTGAAGAATATCGTTCGCTAACAAGAGATCAATCTCTTCCGGGGAGCTACCATCCTGAATATCTGCCGCTGGTGAGAGATGAAAGGATGTGTGGAATATTGCCCGCAATTACTTGAGGGACCACTAGGGACTTGACATTCACCTGATGTCTCGAAAAACGACTTCTGACAGAGATGGCGCATTTCCCCAAGTTTTTTAGTGTGACCCGGCCGGCGATACCGTGGAGTTTCATGGGTTCTGGACTTTCGACTGGTAAATTCAATATTTTCGTTACTTTTTCCGAAACGAGAGACTGCATCGCCCCGGGATCCAGCAAGCAACGACAGAGAACTTTTCCTTTACCATGGACAACGTAGACGTAACATGTCTGGAGGAATGTGACTACCGGCTGTACGGGCTCGGAAATTCTGCAGCTTGCCGCCGCCACCTGCTTACTGCACTGATTTCGACTCGGAGGCGTGCGTGAACACACCATCGTCCAGTGCCTGCCGGAACTTTTATTGCAGTTGGGCTTTCGAGCCCTGCATTGTTCCACCCGGTGGTTCCTGCGGAGGCAGCGCAGACAGCCATTCTGATCTAAGCACATTCTCTTCCGCTCCTCCGGGATCAGCCTTCTCGAGCATTTCTCCTTTCTCTTTTCGTGGGTCAGGGACGCGGTACACCTAGATGAGTGCCGTCGTCTCGCAGGCACGGTCGCGGCTCAAACACTCGATTGGTTTGGCGGGTGTTCATCGCGCACACCGTTGCATGCGTGCGTCCTCGCTGATAATCGCCTGCCGATCTCCGCGACTTCACCTCCTCTCGTCACACGTGACGGGTCCGCGGACCCCTCAGCGTAACCCTCCTCTTCTTTCTCACGAACAAGATCTCGAACGTACTCGATCAGTTTGTTCAACTCGGACTCGTCATCTTCCACAACAATGTTCGGATCCGTACCGGCTGCTCGACCGGCGACACCAGCTGCAAGTTGATCAGCTGTCTCTGTTGTCGGGAGCGTTATCGGCGGCGGCGCCCTTGCAGCGATCTCAATCTGCAGACGTCTCCACTGTCTGAAATCGTTACGCAGCCGCCGAGGAAGCGCGTTCTCAAAAGCCGGCCTGAGGGTGAGGGCATAGAGTCGCAGAGGTGCATCCACAGCGGCCACCAGCTGCACGAGAGCGAGCAGCCGGCGAACGCCAGTGACGTCATCGGCATTTTGCACTCGCGGCAGGGCTCGTAGCTCCTTGAGTACCCGAAGTCTCTCACTTCCGATTCGCGCGTAATTAGTTTCCAACAAATCGAGCGCTACCTCATAATTGTCCTCAGTCAGCTCCAGAGTCTCGATCAACTGTTTAGCTTCGCCTGTCAGATACTTCCGGAGAGCCATCAATCGAACTATGGCCGGCGTGTTTCGCTTTGACTCAATCCACCATTTCAAATGAGTGATGAACTGGCGATACAGAAGGCGATCGCCACTGAAGGGCTCAGGTGGCAAATCGAGCGGTTTTGAGAACATCTCGAGGCCAGACCAGGTCGCCAGCGAAGCCGTGAAACCGAATCCGTCAGAGATTGCTTCGAGACGAGACGTCTGTTTGGTAAAGGAAGATAATTCTCCTCGCATCAAGTGGCCGCTTGTGGGTGTCGGGGCTGCGCATCGCGGGATGGAGAGATCAGGACCTACATCGTACGTTTCGCTGGAGGCACCGTCACCCGCCGTGCGGCTCAATTGTTGTGTCCCTAATGTAAAATAATCTAGGCTGAGGAACGAGAACCCCACTTCGCGGGGGAGTGTTAAATTTCTGGTAATGAGAATAACTGTGATAAGAGTACAGATCGCGCGATCGCGCCGAGAGAGAGGACGATTGTCCAAGTCCGAAACATGCACGTGATAAAAAGAGAGAGTTGTGGTAAACAGCGAGATGAAAGTGAGTTTAGACGGAGCGTTCTGTAACTTCTCGAGTCATAATCACGGTCTAGGTTGGCGGAATGGTTTCGGAAGTTTCGCGGTCGGGGGAAAATCCTCAAACCTTGCCGCCCAAGGGAGTTAATGTTCAGGAAGCTGTATCTGGAATCGTCCAAGTTCTTGGCTGCTCAGCCTCCTGGCGACTGGACCCGTCAAGCCAAATGCGGTCTCTTCTCGATTCAGTAACCACCCAGTGTAGTGAATATATCGATTTTAAGTAGGCTTCGGCCACATCCAACTTTGGGGAGACATTGTTTCCGGAGAACTTGGTCATGACTCCCTCCTTATTCGGTAGCGGATGGTCGATATCCACGAGAGCTTCATCGAGTCCGGTAGAATAATCTGCGCAAACCCGTGAGAAGCCATTAGGTTTCTTTACAGAGCCCGAGCCCCGACTCGGAGAGCTTCGGAGAACTTGTCTGTTGAGAAGTCGAGTCGACGAGACCCACGTCTGGTTGTGAATTCTCGACTTTCCAGACCTCCAAGCCGAGCTGTATCGGCAAGCGACCGCAGAACAGGCTCAATTCGCTCCCCATGAGAACGGGTAGAGAATCTTGGATGGTATTTCCGTTGTGAGTGAATTTCGTCATGGAATAGCCCATGAGCATGATATCATCACCATCGATTGAAGTGCATCGGCTTCCGAACTCAGTGAGCGCCAAGCACCTGAGGGACGTCCAAGTCTGAATCCCAATGGTAGCGATGTTAGCCTCAGAATCTGCGCGGAATCCGATGGGTGAACCGTCGAGCGTGATCAACGTCCGACCCTCAGAAAGTTGCGGAGATCTGAGCACCTTGTCATTCGACCGAGTAAAACGACGATTGCCGGCTTATCAAGTTTTTGGCAAACGCACAGCGCAAGGGGCTCGCTCCTTGAATGACTGGAGACCGGTGGCTTGAGAAGTCTTCGCTGGCTCTCTCAGCGAGATGGCGAAAACGGTCGGAGTTGGCTTCTCCTTCGTCGCACTGTACTTGACTTCAGCATCGCTTGTACCGGTCTCATATCTCTCTAACCGAACCTCATCAGCGGTTACCGAAGCTTTGTCGTCGACGGCTCTTATGCATAGTAACAAAATTGCGCAAGCCTTGATAGCTGGGTTCGGAAACAGAAGGAAGCATGATGAAAATTCGAAGGGAGTCCAATTAGAAAGAACTCAACCCATCCGCTCCCAAGATAGCGTTACTTGCGATCTGTTCTGCGGTTTCCCCGCGAGCGTGGCGATCCTAAAGCAACGTTTCAAACCCACGACAGAACAGAGACTTTGAAACGGCGAACATGTCTATCAGTGTGATGACCAGTGCAGCATACTCCAGACTTTCGGGCTCATTCGGTGAGGTTCTACCACGGAGCTGCGTGTACTAATTTTACCGAGCGCGACGGAGAGCTGACGTCGCTCCTCATCAGACTCACAGAAAGTCTGTAAGCTGTGTTCGTTCTCGGAGAACCACGGCTGGAACGTCAACCCGCTCTTCGGATCGTATTCGAAAGTGCCGATCGAGGCTGAAGCATTCTCGAGAGCCACGGCTCCATCCGTTTCCCGACTTGTGTCTCTCTCTTCGATGGCCATTTTTCATTTACATAGACAACCGATTGCCACGTGTAACTCGGACACTCGAGACTCGAGAGGATTGAATCCCCTACAATGCAAATCCGATGATGAATCCTTCGGGCGATCATCCTTGACGATCATTTGCTACATGCGACCCTGTTTCAGGGCGATTACTCAGCAGATCTTCGGGTTCCGATTTCGCATAATTCCCAGAAGTCG